GGGTATGGTTATGGATATGTATGTATATATACTTGTATGGATATAGGTGATTTTTAAAAAAATATATGTAGTTATATGTATATATGGGTGTATATATGTGTATGTGTGGGTATGTGGGTACATGTATATGTCTGGATGTGTATGTATACAATTTTTTATAATTTCTATATATGTATGTGTGAGTGTGGGTGTGTATATATAGATGGGTACATGTATGTCGTTCCATAGATAGTGTATGTATTCATGCATGTATGTATAAATATAAGAAGTTGTGAGTTCATATATATATAATATGGGAGAATATAGATATAATAATGTAATTAAGTATGGATTTTGATATGTTTTTTGCATGCACGCACATGTGGGTGTATATATGTATATGTATATATTTGTGTATATGTGTGTATATGCGTATATGTATATGTGTGTGTATATGTGTATGTATGTGTATGTGTATATATGTGTATATATGTGGGTATATGTGTGTTTATGTACATGTGTATGTGTGTGTATGTGTATATCTACATGTGTATGTGTGTATGTATGAGTATATTCATGTATATATATATACATATATATGTGTGTATGTGTATATGTGAATATATGTATATATATGTATATGTATGTGTGTATGTGTACGGATATGTGTGTATGTGTATATTTATGGATACATAGAATATTATAAAAGAAGGTCTTACAGTCCTGTTATTAGTGTTTAATCTCATTTTCTCATTTAATATTATCCAACAATAGTTTGAATAATGTAAATAATGTACATAACACATCATCTCAGAAATATGGACATATATATATATATATATATATATATATATATATATATATATATATATATATATAGGTAATCCGTTGGTATAATCCAGGCGTCACACACACACACACACACACACACACACACATATATATATATATATATATATATATATATATATTTATCCAGGTATGATCCAGGCGTCCCTATATATATATAATAAGAAATAATCACACATAGAATCAATCAGCAATATTAATGCTATTATTGGCGACATCCATCGCTAGTAGTGTATAATGTATGCATTAAAATACTGTTAATCCATAGAGTGACGTGATCCTCATCTATAAAACTGTTGTCTGTTGTTTCCAGTTTATATTTTTTTTAAATGCAAGTACTTTCGAATAATCCTTTATTCATCGTCAGGCCTATGTTTTCCTTATAAAATCAAAAACTTGAAGACGAAATAATTGTTTGTACTTTTTGTCGGCATTAAATAACCCGTTGTGGTTGATATGCCTTAAAACAAAATAAACCAATAAACCAAACTTTTAGAATTTTGCATTACATTGAATTACTGTTGCAAATTTGTGTAAGTTTCATTTGTCATGTGTTGAAAATATGTTACCATTGGTAGGCGATTTTGTTTGGTCGTTGTTATTTGAGAGAGACACTTCAGTTTTCCCGTTGACTTAATAATAGCCGACACTTGTACTGATGAATATGCAGTCAAGTGTCAAAGCAGTTCATGTTGCTTCGTTTGTGAAATGAAAACCTTCCTCTTGACTTTGTAGACGCAACGGGCGTTCATTTATGCTCACTTTTAGTGTCGGATTCGTTGGACGAGAAAAAAAAAAGAGTGTTTGTCGTTGAAGTATTTGCTTATTTTAAGACAATAAAGTTGTGGATGCGTGTGTGCTGGCAGTGTTTGTAGCTTCCATTTGAAAAGAATATTTCTAACTGTTGTATTGCTTTGTACTAGGACACATGATTAGTCGTCAACTTTCACCAGTCTCTTTACAATAGATTTTATTTCTCTTCCACTTAACATATGCAAATAGGTATAGTCCTATTTACCAATCCACTACACCAGAATTTCTCAACTGGGGCCATGTAACATTACTGGGTGTCCACACAATAAAAGCAGATAATTGGGATTCATGATAATATTTTAGTGGTCCATAGAGTAATTTCAATTCGGAAAGGTTGTTACAATTGAGAATTGGAATTTCCACAGTAAATTTGAAAATAAATAATAATACTAATAAATAACGAAATCAAGCGATGTTAGCGCCTCTATTAAATTAATTCTACTTGAAAATAAAGTATACATATACATTTACTGTTTTCCTTATATATATATATATATATATATATATATATGAAGAAATACAGTTTTAAGGTGTGCTATATTTATGGGATAAAGAGCTCAATAGCAGAAATAGAGCGTATGTAAATATAAATATAAAAGTGAACAATGAAGTCAACACTCAGAGGCGACAGGCTGTTTCATGCTAGACGCAGTCGTCCGGCCTAACCATTTGCGTCTGGCATGAAACAGCCTGTCGCCTCTGAGTGTTGACTTCATTATCAAGAACCCCGAGGCAGACAGAAGGGGCACCAGACCATATATGGCAGCAATACTCCATGCAAGGGCGAATTGTGGATTTGTAGATCTGGAGGATTGACTCCGGGGAGAAAAACTTCCTGGCGCGGCTCAGGGAGCCAACTTTCCTTGCGGTGGACGAAGCAATTGACTCAATGTATTTATTCCATCTCAGGTCAGCAGTCAACGTGAGACCGAGAAGCCGCAGAGGGTTGCTCTCGAGAAGTTGAGCGTCAGACATTCTAATGGAGGGAAGGGAAGGATCTCTGTGGTGATTAATAGAGAGCAGTTTTGTCTTCGAAGCGTTGAAGTTGACCAGCCAATTCATGCCCCAATTCACAATCGATTGGAGGTCCTTTTCGAGACGCATGGCAAGGTGAATTTTGTCAGCGAGACTAGATTTGTTTTTGAGGCACGAATAAATTGTGGTGTCATCCGCGTAGATGCCGACTTGAGAAGTTACGGGCGTCAGGAAGGTCATTTATGTAGATAAGGAATAGAGTGGAGCCTAGGATGGAGCCTTGAGGATCACCTGCGTTCGTGGGATAGGAACTGGAGGAGAATCCGTTGAGAACGACCTTCAATTCACGGCTTGACAGGAATGATCGTATTAGGTTATATAATCGACCCGTAATGCCATAACCCTGGAGCTTGCGAAGAAGGCCGGCATGCCAAACCCTATCAAATGCTTTGGAGATGTCTAGTGCCACGGCTCGGGCTTCCCCGTTATTTTGAAGAGCTCGGTAGACTGTTTCAGTGATGGCCGTAAGCACATAGGCTGTAGATCGGGTAAAGCGGAAACCATATTGCTTGTCTGAGAGCAGATTATGGGATGTGAGGTGGTTAACCACCCCGGTATTGATTAGGGCTTCGAAGACTTTGCCGAAGAGGGGAAGGAGACTGATAGGACGGTAGTTGGAAGGGTCAGAGGGGTCGCCAGAGTTCTTGAAGACAGGAACGACCGAAGAGGACTTCCAGCAGTCAGGAAAAGAAGATTCCTTGAGGCAGTAGTTGTATAGTTTAGAAAGGGCGGGCGCCAGTTCAGGCGCGCATTTCTTCAAGACAATGGCTGGTATCCCGTCTCCACCACTAGCCTTGTTGGGGTCTAAATTGGAGATAACGGCCAGTACCAAAGATGGGGTTATGTTTAACCCACTCAATATGGCCTCAGTTCTAAGAGGGAAGTCGGGTATGGGTACACCGGAAGAGTCGAGCGTCGAGTTGAATGAAAATTTCCGAGCAAAGCATTCAGCCTTGTCGGTAGAGGAGATCAGGACTTCGAACTGGTTGAATAAAGGAGGTATAGAGGGTTTGCAATTGTTCAATACGCTCTTGCAGAGACGCCAATAATCTTTGGAGCCAAATTTGCGAGATGCAATACGTTCCTTCATTCGAGCCGCAAATAGTGACTTAGCATCGTTGAGGACACGCTTAAATTCGTTACGGGCGGAGGCAAAGAGATGTCTATTGCAGTCAGACATGTCGCTACGGAATAGGTGGAAGTAGTGGTTCCTATGGGCGATGGCGGCTGAGCAAGCAGCCGAGAACCAGGGGAGGAGCGCGACTTGACCCTATATTTCCTTGATGGGATGAAAGCGTCGATTCAGCTTTAACCCAGGAAAGAGACCTCAAGCACATTCTTGGACGGGGGAGCTTAAAGACTCCATCCCAGGGGACATCGCGGAGGAAATCACGGAACGCGTCCCAGTCAGCTCGTTGATAGTAGAACGAAGTTCTAGTGGTAGGTTGTTCTTTATAGGGGGTGGAGTTGAAGGAGATGTTAACTGATACTACTGCATGATCAGAGTTACCAAGAGGGCAGAGTTGCGAGGCGCTGCAGGATTCGGGGATGGAGGTAAAGCACAGGTCGAGTAGAGAGGCTTTACCTTCCCGGTTGAAAACAAAACAGTGGGAAGTTAACTATCTGTGAGAGGGATGGGAGATTGAAAAATTAAGCGTTTGAATGCCTGCATGGTCAGTAGTAGCATTCTTAAGCCACAAGGTGTGATGGGCGTTAAAGTCACCAAACACAAAAATGTGAGCAAACGGATGGAGGAGAGAGCCTTGTCTATGTTGTCAGAAATGCTATCAAGTATCTCACAGTCTTGAGAGGATGGAGAGCGGTAAAGGAAGAAGAGATAGCCTATATATATATATATATATATATGTATGGATCTGAGTTTGTGACTCTGGGTTTAACGCTTTTGAGAGTTTGTCTGATGATTGCAAAAAGCGTGAAACCCAGGGTCACAAACTCATATCCATACAACATTATGTTAGCTCATATCATTGATAATGAGCGCTTTCCAATAAGTACTGCGCATATAAAAAAATACATACATATATATATATATATATATATATATATATATGTTGTGGTAGGATCCACCTAATTTGCATAGTGGAGTACCGACCATATAAATATGGTTGGTACCGGGAAGAGAGGGAGGAATCAAGAGATTCAACCAGAGACTCTGCCCGACTACGATTCAGTCAACACATTCTCCAGGAACGGTCTTACCAGGAATATACAAAAGACTATATGTAAATATTGTGTACACTTTCTTGTTTCAATACATTTTGTTCTAAGTACATTTTGTGTTGCATTATTATTCCATGCATTAGTCAATTTTCAACAATATAATATCTATCTATCTATCTATCTATCTATCTATCTATCTATCTATCTATAGGAAGCATATACATTTACTATTTCTATAATACAATTCCTAAACTTATCTATTAGTAAAAAATAAAATAAGCTTTTTTTCATTGAAAGGTTAATGGGGTCCATCAAAAAAATTAATAGATTAATATATATGATAAAAAGCTAACAATGTTGGTGTGAGCAACAGACGCACTAAATTAAAGTGCTCAACTCCTAGACTACCTAGGCAGAGCATAAAACGAACGATGGCTGAAGTCGTTACTCGAGTTTCATGCTCTCTCGATCTTCAGGCGACTATAAATACATGTTATTTGATATAAAAAACTTTTTATCTTTCTTCAAACGCTTCTGAAATTTACTGCCAACATCTCTAAATTCTAACCTATTCACTACATTAAAAAGCTCTTTCTAAGCTCAAATTATCAGTTATCTCACTGGTGTCATCTCTGTTTGAAAAGAAATTCTTCCACCTTATCTAGTCGCCTGAAAATCGCGAGAGCGTGAAACTTGAGTAGCGTACATATAGTTCTGCTTTTGCTAATTTTTATCACAGGCTTTGAAATACCCGTGATGTTTACGTTAAAGATGAAAATTGATGTGTACAAGTCAGTCGTACTGACATCTCTACTTTATGGTACAGTTGCGGACATACCATCTGCAACAGAAAAAAACTGGGTGATCGCATTAGAAACAAGGAAGTTCTGACTAAATTCATGACGGGTATAGACGCCATCTTAATGAAAAACCAAATCAAAACTCTTAGCCTCATTGTTAACAATAATAGTTAAAAGTAAAAATAAAATCATCCTTGAAAATGGCTAAAAAGTGGTCGGACATACAAAACATTTGGATAATTTCTACATAATTTATGTCTAGAAAAGAAAAAATATGAGGTCACAAGAAAAATTCAATAAAAAGCTTAAACGCACTGCTTTGTTCAGTTGTATTTAATGAAACTTGTATACGACAAGGATTGCTTCCCAAATACACAGGCACACACAAAGATATATATATATATATATATATATATATATATATATATATATATATATATGTGTGTGTGTGTGTGTGTGTATAAGTAAGAGAGAGAAAGAGAGGGAGATAAATAGGTCATCTTCTTATAATTTGAAATAACCATTACTTGTTCGCTTAATTCGTTTCAGTTAAATAATTGATATATTTTCCACATCGCTGCTTTTAAGATTAACAAGTTTCCACTCCAAAGAGAAAAAAAAACTCTTTAGGAAAACTGTAAAATTCTGTTTGAATCTCTCAATTTATTGCAAACGTTTATCTCTGATCATCGGATTATTTTCCAACCTACGTATAAGTTATTTTTTTTGTACGGATTCTGTTCGAAATTCGGTCATCAATCGACCCAAATTATTTGGGGATCAGAAATTTCGATTCAGGTTTATTATATGTAAATTCAATAACAGCAGATATGATCACAATGAAACTAGATCCCAGCCAAGTGTTTTTTCATGTTGGGGAACAGATGATAGTCAGATGGGGCCAAATCAGGAGAATAGGGAGGGTGATCAATCAGTTTATAACCATAGTCACACAAAGCAGACATTGAAACCAAGGACTTTTCTGATGAAAGAAAACCCCTTTCATGGGCGTTTGGTCTTGATAGCCTTTCGTAACTGCCTCGGAAAGTTGGCATGGTGCTCTCCATTGATGGTGTGGCCCTTTTTATCTCCAAAACAAGCCATCAGCATCCCTGCGGGTGAAACGACCTTGGCCTTCTTTGAAGCAGGCGAGGAGTAATTTGTCCACTGCATGGACTGTCTCTTTGCTTCTGGCTCAAAGCGATGAATCCAACACTCATCCTGGGTTTGGAAACGTTCTAGGAAACCAGCTGGACTTATCTCAAACAAGGTCAGATTTTCCCGTGATGTTATCAGCCTGGTTCGTAACAATCCCCCCCACACACACTGAAGGAGAGATAAGATTGGATCTCGAGCTTTATATCCATTGGCTCGGTAATTTTACCTAATAGTCTTTTCGGTTTTATCAAGGAACTGATTAAAAAATATAAAAAAGTTGGTTAATGAAATTCCATATATATGATACCCCCCTGCCTTAGGGTCAGAGCAGAGGTTAGAAATGACCGACAGAAAAATGATTTTCATTGAATCTATTAACGCCCAACGTCCCATTTTTGGGGGTGGTGGTATTTCATGGGTTATCGGTAGAAATCTATAATTAATAGAGGATTTTAATTTTGACATTTAAAACTAATACTGGATTTTAAAGTTGCCATTAATAGGTTATAGATAGGCATATAAGATTGAAAAAATTTTAAGTAGGAATCTACTAAGCAGCAGCAGCTTAAGTCGTCCTCCTTTTGTGGTTGACCGACTCAAGACTATTTCCAAGAATCTTTCTGTCACACAGGACGCCTTGGGGATACATGAGATCATTTGGAGTGCGTGAGTGGCAGCACTGCTTGGAACAGCTGGTCGGCTGAAGAAAGTAATTGTGTTTCTAAGCTACGAGTAGGAGCTGAGATTTGATTATTATCACCCGGCCAAAACATCTTAATGTCGGACAGGATATCAAATAAAAAAATTACTATTGTATTGTGCCACATACTGAAAAATGGTACGAAAATCACTCTGTATCATTTACGGAAGACCAGGAAGTCATGATTCTTTGAGACTTTACCATACTTACTGACAGACATACAGCATCTAATAGACGAGCCATAGGAATTAAATATGATAAACAATTTTTTGTTTATCATATTTAATCCCTATTATTATCTTATAAATGTGGCAGTTTCATCAGATAACAAAAAAACAACATATCTGTTAAAGAATATGGCCAAATGAGTGAATATAAGTGACAGAGAATTCGAAGGCTGACAATGGAGAGAATTGAGGAAAAGACAAAAAAGTAACAGGGTTCAAGAAGACAATAGATGGCGATTGACGCTGCATTTAAATCTTTGAAGATTGTAGTTGTCAGGGAAGCAAGAAATCGGAAGGGAGTTTCACTGGTTGGAAGTACGAGAGAAGTAGAAAATCTAGTAGCATGATTCTTGTAGTCGGGGCATCACTAGGGATAAAAGCTGATTAGAAAAGTTGCCATGAAAATATTTCTAGAAAAGACAGAGGGAAATTACGTCACGTTGATGGGAAAGTGACTGAAGACGAGAAGCCAGGGTCAGGGTCGATTGTATTGCAGATATTTCTTTAGATTTTGTCAAGAATCACACACCAGACCAGATATGGCAGCAATATTCAATGTACGGATGAATGGTAGATTTATCAATGTCCAAGATGGATTTTGATGAGAAAAACTTTGGCGATAGGAAAGTAAAGTCGTGATTCTAGGTGAGGACCAATAACATTACATTCATTTGATTTTGTTGAGAATCTCAAGATATATAACACGAGCACCAGACCAGATATGGCAGCAATATTCAATGTACGGATAAATGGTAGATTTATAAGCACTCAAGCATGGGGATTGCCTCTCCATTTCCTTTCTCCTGTCTGGTGGCGGTGGGGAGATGGCTGTGAAGGCCAAACCTATTTCTGAAGAATCGTGAGCAGGAGTCACAGAGCGGTGTGGGTGGTGGACGCGTCTGCGCGTGTCCGATCCTCCTGACAGCACGTCGAAGATCCTTTTCATGATGACGGTTGGACTCGCTCCTTCCTCGGATGATCCTTCAACAGAAAAGTTGAATTGCAGCAACGGTTTCCCAGGTTTCATGGTCGATGTTGCGTTAGGGATGTCTTCAACTGATCCTTGAAGCGTCGTTTTGGGCCTTCTCGTAGCCACTTGCCACTGGCGATTTATCTCAACAGGATAATTTATAGGAGTCGAGTGTGAATACCTATGATAATTGGATTCTAAAATAAGATCTAAAATGGTACAGATATAATCATTAACAAAATCACTGATAGACCCTGTTTACAATAGATTACACAGTGCGGAAATGCACATCTACTCAGGGAAGTATTATCGATATAAAGAAAATATAAACTTATGTATATGTTAATGAACACTTAACATATACAGGCAAACAGAATGCAAACCGTTGATAATGGCCCTTTAAAGGTTTGTTACTCAAAAGAAAATAAATGAAGTATAAATAACAATAATAATAATAATAATAATAATAATAATAATAACAATAATGATAATAATTATTATTAGAGACCGCAAACAAAAAAAAGTGCCCCCTTATTGATATAGCAGTCCCTGCGGAATGCAATGTATCTTTGAAGATCTTCAAAATGCTATCAAAATACAAGGACCTTGGTAATCGAAATCTCAAAAATGTGGCACATGGGAACATCAACAATCCCTGTTGTAGTTGGTGCCCTAGGATTGTTTGGATAAGATTCCAGTAGATTAATTGAAGGGATTCCTGGAAGCCCATGCCTTAAAGAAATACAAAACATTGTTCTCACGAGTATAGCCCACACCTTACGAAGGGCTTTATCTATGTAAAATATTTTTTTTTTTTTTGTCAGTGGAAAATGTCATGATGCCATTCTTAACCTGAGGTCTCTGGGCGGACACGGAAAGAAATGTGTACACACCAGAAATCAAAGGAAATAAAATAATAATAATAATAATTTTTTTCTGTAAGCAAGTATTTACCAAAATTTTGGAAGTTTTGGAATTTCTAACATCTTTTTAACATTTTAATCAAAGAAGGTTTTAGCGTCTCCTCATCTTTTATGAATAAAGCAGTTGATATCTGTCAACGTATTTTGTCACGACATCCGTCGATGATTTTGGCAGTGGGCGTATCATTGTGTATGGCTTAATTTGTCTCATTGCAGAATTTCCTTTTACAAGGTTTCATTGCTTGCAAGATTCTGTATCGCATTTTGATTGGCCGGCTCGTCTTCCCGCCTAGAATTGTTCGACTTGTTGTTTCCCGTCATTTTTATTTCTTGAGATTTTCTCTGCTTTTCTCAGCGGAAGCCATTTCGAAATAAGACCCACGGAGCTGAAGGGAAAAAAAACGACACATGCAGACGAGAGATTAATTAAATT